TGAAAGGGGCTTCCTGAGGCAGCAGAGCGTAGCTCCGGAGCCCTGTGGGGAAGGGCGTGCTTTGTTCTGTGAGAAATACACGGGTAAAGCAGCAATTCTTAATCAGGCTGCCTCACCAGCCGTGAACCTCTCGTGGCTGTGGCACATGGCCCGCACGGGGGTTAGAGCTGGGCTGGAGCAGGGGATGGAGGGGAGCACAGCAGCAGGCCCAGGCACCCCCCTCTGCTTTTGATGCCCGTGGGTGATATAAATCCCCCCTCCAGCCGGCAAAATAACGTTGAGAGGATATGAGAGAAACAGGGATCAGTTTTCCTCCTAAAAGGAGGAAAAAGAACATTTAAGGTGTGAAGTATAAACTACATTCCTGAGGTGCAGCACATATATATGCCCCTCTCTTTTCCACCTGGGTCTATACCATATGTGCATCCCAATATTTGCACTTCAGCACTCTTTATTGCTGCTATGCTAGTAGCCAATTAATTTGCCAATCTGCTTTCTGCAGATGGCGGTGTAGATTCACTTTCTAAATCTGGTCTTGCAACTCTTACTTGGTTGTGCAGATGGGCAGTGACAGGGGTTTGAGTCCGCTCTGTTAAGCTTGTTCTCTCTGGCTGCCCTCACTGTCTGCGAACCTGAGCACTGGGAGAACGGAAATGTTTGTTTAAATAATGTAAATACAACATAAACATAACAAATGTGAGCTCAGAACTACACCTGGATTTCTCACACGTTGATTTCTTACCAGCCTGGAAAAGCCTGCTCGGGAATCTCCCTCCCCTCTCCTGTTTCAGCCGTTTCTGGGGGGTGTATGGGAGCCCCCAGAGCCATTGCTCCACCAAAGTCCCGGTCCCACCAGGGAGCTGTGTCCACCTGGGAAAAGACCGGCCTCTGCAGGTTTTTGGTGGTTGCCTTTGCGTCTCTGGGAGGTGAGGCAACACCAGGCAGTTTGCTTTTCCTGATTCATTTCCCATTTAATTCCAGCTACATGCCAGGCCCCATGATCAAGTCCTAGTGCACTTTTCCTGGTTGGAAAGGCTGCATTCCTGCTCCCTTTTCCTGAGCATCTGACTGTAATCTTGAAGTGTGTGTTGAAATCACCTGTCTCAGCATCTTCAGCTCAGCCTCTGACCAGGATCCTGGCTGGTCCCTCACAACGGTTTGTCTTGGCTTCTTTGGCTCTTACCTCATCACTGTGAGCCATTGTCTGGTGGACACTGCACAATTGTCACCGTGACACACACTGCAAGCGCAAGAACTAAGTTTTAAACACAGTACTTACCTTGGAGAAAATGAAGGACATAAAGAAAATTTGGGATTGTATCAAAACCTTACATGCTTCCAGATCTTTCTACTGAAGAGCTGCTCTGTAAGAGTAGCCATAAGGTATTCAGATTTAGCATCCTTGTAGAAATAAAAAAAAGTATCAAAATTTGCAATAGTAATGTTTAACTTTGGAAAGGGGAGCTCTGCGAAACAAGGAGGTTTGTCAAAAGAAAAGCGTTTAAGGTTTGTAATGCAGAGATTACTTCAAGACAGAGTATTAGACACTCGGCCCAGGGGCAGGTCACTTACCAAAACGCTCTGGAATATCTCAGAAATGGCAGTGTAGTTTAACAGAGCTGGAGAGACGATTTGATGTTAAAAGCCATCTTTCTAAGAAAGAGAAGTTGTGCCTGACCAAATAAACTAGAAATGGCAATCTGTAAAGTTAAGTGTAGAACCGCTGTGTAACAGCCACAATGACCTCAGAGAGAAGCTTCCTGAAGGCCTACAAAAACGTTCACATTAATTAAAATTGAGACCTGATCCCCTGCCACCAGCTCCAGCAAAAGGGTGAAAAGGAGTGAGCAAGGAGAAATATGGCTGTGGCAGAAAAGACGCTGCATTTCTGTTCACTGCTGAAGATTCTTCTCAGAGCGGAGCCTTTTCTTGGGGTGGGTCTGTGTCGGAGGAACTGGAGATGCCAGTGGAGTTAAAGTTTTGAAGTGACTGACGAGATATTAAGGACCAGAACAGAAGATTTTAAAGGAACTCAGACTTGACACTGCTTGGCTGCCAGCAGTCGTTCCACCTGGGTGGCCAGGACACTGCTCACGCTGACCTCCTCCAGGAGGAACCTCAAGAACTACAAAGGAGAAGCCTGACCTGGCGAGTTGACCCGAGCTTTGGGCTCATCACCAGACGGTGTACCTGGAGAGAGCCAGCACCGCTCTTCTGGAGGAAGGTCAGTTCTCCAGGTCTTACTGGAGATTTCTGAAGGAGTCAAAAAGCAAATGCGGGTGGATGATTTGATCGTCACCGTGCTCTTGAGTTTTTAAGTACGTTTTCTTGAGGTCCCTTGCCAAAGGTTCTTGAACTATTAAGCTATAAAGTGAGAGAAGTTTGCTCATGGAGTAGCAATTAGATAAAAGGAAGAATGGAGTAAATAACTAGTTTGCTAGTGTCGGTTTGTGACCCATCTTTTTCCACATATTCCTAAGTGATCAGAGGAAAAAAAGAATAGCAAAGCGATGTAATTTGTGGGAGTTATATGTCATTTTTCATCATAATCAGAAATGAAGCTGACTAGAAAGGGTTGCTGAATTTCATGACACTGGGTAAGTGAGTAAATAGAACAGCAGAGGAATTCCATTTCGATAAATGTCAAATAATGCATAGAGGAGAAAGAAAATGATTGCAATGCCACATACGCAGAGGGCTCTTAGCTCCCTGTGATAACGTCTCCTTTATCTCATGGGTGTTAAAAAGGGGGGCAGGGAAAGGGAAGTGAATCCTGGGAACTGGCAAGATAGAAATTAAGAGTAAAATGGAAGTTACTGTCAGTGTATGAATTTTCACTGCTCTTCTGCATCGTGAACAGAGTGGTTCCGATCTCAGGGTTATGAAAAGGTTACAAAATGAGGGGTGATCAAAGGTGTTGAATGGCTTCTGTTTGAGGAGATGGCAGGAGAGTTTGGAAAGGAAGAGAGGGAGGAGGACTGTGATAGTGATATTTAAAATAGTGAATGTTATGAAGAAGATGAATAGGAAAGATTATTGGGTGTTTCCTTTGCCAGTACAACTAGCAGGCACTGGGCGGAATTACTGGGCAGCAGGATTAAAGAGAAGGACATAACTTTTTCCACACACTGCACAATTTAATTGTGCATCACCACCGCTGCATTGTGGAGGTCAAAAATACAAATGAATTTAAAAAGCTGTTACGTAAATCAGTAAAGAGCAGTTCCTCAAGGGCTGCTAAACACAGGGCTGAGATTCAGACTGCTCTAACCTAAACCACTGAGAGGGCACACGAGGCAAAGGGTCACCATGTCCTTGGCTCCTGAGCATTTGCACGGAGGGACCATCCCCGTGACATTGTGTGGCCTTTCCCACAGGAACGCATTTCTGGGGACTGAGAGCCAAAGCACAAAGTGATGCAAAAGCACCCCTGGGACATGGTCCTCTTGGGGATAAATGAGGTGTTCCAGGGAGTGTGGAGCCTGGAAGAAACAGCGAAGCATAAAGAACATCGGTGATGACTGACAGATGGTGTAACAAGGTGCGGAAACGCGCTGTCCTTGCTGGTGCTGCTGCAGTGGGAAGCGTGGTTCTTGGTAAATGCTGCAGCAATCAAAAAATACCAGTTTGGAACAGCTTTTCTGTGCCAGGCTGTGAAGCCTGGAGGGCAGAGGGGAACTGCAGAGGGAAGGTGCGCTCACTTAAGATTCAGAACTTACCCTGGAATCTCTTTAGGCAAGGGTTGCTGTTTGCTGAGGTTCTGCAGACCTATTGTCTGCTGCTGATATATTAATATATACAAGTGTTATTAAAAAAATGAATAGCAATAAAATAGCAAACTCTTACGGCATATTTGTTAAGATAATCAAGAAAAAGTAATGCAGCCAGTATTTATGGACTTTTTTATAAGTCACAGAGAAGAAATATTAACTAATTGAATTAATTTTCTGTTAGCATTACTAGGGTGTTATAAAAGCGTGGAGAGACTTGATAATATAACATTTTTGTTGTTTTGGAATGTGTTAACATTTTCCAAGGAAGAATGCTTAGAGCTGAGTGGTCACAGCAGAGCAGTATAAGCTGCAGCATGTGAGCCCTTGAAAAGGAAGAAATCATTCAAAGCAACCTCCCAAGCTGAGGAACTGCGGGTTTGATCTGTGCACTGCTGCTGCCCACACGTCTTCCTGCCTGCCCTGTGTTTCCTAATCAAGGCCTGAACGCTAATAGCCTGAAGAAATGCATCCTCTCTCCTGGTCTATTAATCAATACTGTGGTGAGCAGAAAACATTTAAAAACACTTCGGCTGTAGAAGTCTGTGTTAGAAAAGGGATCGTGTGCTGAAAAAATGCCGACAGTGGTAAAAAGGGTAACTGAGAAATCAAATGCTGCTGGATGCTCTCAGAGGAGACAGGTCGAGGGGGAAAACACACTTCATTAGTTCCTGGATCGGATCTAGGGCGTACCTCGTGATGAACGGATACTCAGTGAGGTTCCTAAAGGCTACAGGAATATGCACACTGACTTCCAAGTGCCTGCAGCTCCCCGGGCTGTTGCCTGGTCCATCCTCTGCCTCCTGCACCCAGAGCTCCCCGCAGCCGGCCGGGGCACTCGCAGCCCAGGCACAGACCTTCTCTTGGGTTGGCTTCCCTCAGCAGGATGGTTTGGCTGATGAAATGCATAATAACGTTTGATTTTCTTTTGCCCT